TGTTTGTTCTACTGCACAAAAACACTTCTCTGCCGTAGATATCACCTTTTATATACTGAAGCCTTGTTGTCCGATTTTTCTGGACAGCGATGTTTGAAGCCTGGCGAGTCACTCTATCTGGAGGAGAACTCTGACGAGCAAAGCCTGTTGACTTAGCGGTAGAAGAGAGCAAGAGAAGTGACATTAAACCAGCTCTGCCAAGTTTCACCTGGGAGTGCGGCACACTCGTCCCAAGACCTCAGAAGATCCTCATCGCTAGGAAACCGTTTTCCTTTTAGCTTCATTTTCACATGCGGAAACAGTGCACCATCGCGGGGAGCAAGATCTGGACTATAAGGAGGGTGCTCAATAAGTTTCAGTCCAGTAGTGGTCAAATACTCGGTATAGGCTTTGGCGCGGTGAGCTGGAGCGTTGTCATGGTGGTACCAAGTGACTTTGGCTGCAAGTTTTTCAAAGCCTCCGTGTACCGCTCATCTGAGACTGTCTTCTGTGTGTCCAAAACGACACGCTGCACAGTCCACCTCGATTTGAAAAATACATCATATTGCAAAACTTTTATAGTACCTTTTGTATTATGAAATCAGTAGAGGACAGGTGGATAATCTACCAAATCAAAGGTACAGTGCAGGTGACCTTGATTACCTGGAAGCTTACCTTCCTCCTCACTACCTGCTATATCAGAGACATCACAGTTAACCTACATGTAGGGTTTTGGATACCACAATATCATTTCAGACACCTCGCCAAAAGTTTTTAACGACGGAGTGATGCTTCTCTTCTATAGTCCATATTATTTTGAACCACCTTAGGCGCTACTGCAACGTTGCAATTCGGTAGTTTTCGGAGGCCCGAAAATGTAAGAGGCTTGTGTGACCGGTCATGTTTGTACCTTGGTACGAAGGTGTTACGGCTGCGAGCGATAACGATGAAAAATACGTCACTGGTTAATTTCCTCAACGTTACTCTTTGAAAGTATCTGGCCATTCTTAGCCTAATTGTACAGGTCTATCTTAAAACACCATATCCTGAATTTTTAAATGTTTTAGCCAGTCGAAATACAGTTATAGGTGGCCCACTGCTATGTTGGTTTTCACAAGATATATGATATAGTGAAATATCAATGTTATACATTAATCTACCTGGATTATCCATTCTAATGAGGAATACGCTTGTTGTGAAGGTGAATAACATGGAAAAAGCCGTTCTACACTATTTAGTTTTTCATAATACAGTAGGCGGTAACAGCTGGATGATTGTATAAATTTTGTTTGAGGAACATGTTGGCGGGGCTTTTGTCCTGAAATATTTACGTAAAATGGACCAGAGGTCGATAACGTAAGTTCTGTGGTGGATATTTTAGATCAATATACTGATTATCCGTCCATGATAGATTTTTAGTAGCACTCTGCATACAAGACTGAACGGTAACTTTCATCATTTCAAGCAGCCGGGACTCATATCTTCCTATATTTTTGAAAAAATTGAGGTGTAGTCAGCATTATGAAAGTTTTATTTGGAGGTGCATATCTCGAAAGCCAAAATGATAATGGTAATCCATTTTGTAGTACTTGTTCATACTTTAAGGGTGGGGAGAACCAAGCAATATAATACAAAACTAAATTAGTATCTTGCAAAAAAATGTCTAAATCTTTTTTATTTGTTTATTCAATATCAATAAAAACGTTACAATAAATGAATGAATTTATAGCTATTGATATCATCTTCATATAGTTAGGTGCAAGTTCGTACATTCCAGGTACTCTACTACATTGTAAAATTAATTTTTCAACAATACTTTCTTAACTTCTTTTTTAAATGAAATATAATTACTAATTTGTTGAATTTTTAGTTGTGATTTGTTGAATAATATGACGCAGTTGTTGAATTATTTACAAATTTTGATTTCTTGTGTTGTACTCATTATAAACATTGTTATTTAGAAATAAACTATACTTCTCTTTCATAGGTTACGCATTTCAAAATATAGGAGCAGTACACATTAAGAATTTCCCTTGACTTAAAAATTTCTCTGCAGGAGTCAACTGGCTTCATTCCAAAAATTAATCTAATGATTCTTTTTTGGGCCACAAATACTCGCTCAATTTCATATAATTTCCCCCATACCATAATGTTGTATATGTGGCTATATGCCATTGCATATGTTCACTAGGGCTTTTTCGTCTTAGAATATTTTTTACTTGCACTACAGCAAAATATGCTAAACTCAAATGTTTACAAACATGGTCATTATGTTCCTAAAAATTTAGTCAGCTATCAAAATATTTGCCGAGCAATTTACAAGTCAGATGAAGTAAGGTCATATGTATCCAGTTCTATATTAATTATGCGATGCATGATGAAATGTATTACAATGGCCTTACTTGAATTTAGGATTAGCTGATTTCTTTGGCATCAGGGTGAAAATTTATCCCATATACATTGAATTTTGGTATGACGGTGATCTACATATTCAGATATAGTGGTCGTCACCATTCTTCGCGGGTCAAAGTAATACTACCAGTATCCCTTTATATACCTCCATCTCCCTCATACATACACATGCAACCTACCCCTGTTAGTTCGGTAAGCTCAAAGACATACGTTTTTTAGTTGTGTGTCTCCGTATCGAAAACTTTGTCTTTACGTATGAGTGCCGTTCAGTCATATTTGTCAGAGTGACAACTTACGGCGTCCATTTCGAGTTGTCCTGTTATCAATCTTCAATATAAAATTGTACAATGCCCGGAAATAGGATCAATGGAGAAGGCCGACAGTTCGTGGTAAATCTATTAGAGTATTTCCAGGAAGAGAATGAAAACAGCGGTCCCCTGTTACCCACTTCATGCGTGCTGGAGAGAGTAGCAGATGCGCTAAAGATTAGTCTGCGCAGTGTTCCACTCATGGTACGGAGATTCGATCTGTTTACTTATTTTATATGGCGTTGATGACGTAACCGCCAAGAACGGTGACTACCACTATAGCTGAATTTCAGGAATGTGTAAATGAAACAAATAAACAAACGTAGTGTCATCTGGAAGACAAAGTGTGTTGTCAGAAGTGTTAAATGTGCTTGAAAAACATCACCGTTGGGATCGAAACCTCGTACAATAAAGAGGAATTTCAAACATCTATGTGGTTTGATTTGGCCAGACAAGTTCCGAATGTTACATTAATATCCAAGTTATAGTTACCCAACCTGAAAGTTAACCAGCGACTGAAAATCTGGCCTAAGGCTACATAGTTCTACTACATTTATTTACGACAGTTATGGTTTTTAGTTACATACGAGTATTGATTTAACCCTCTTGGTTGGCACTCGCCATCCCAAGGATTGTTCAACGGGTTACCAACATCTTCAGCTGGTTCTACATTTTGCCTTCAAAAAGACCGGTCCCATAAGATGCAGACTATTACACATCGCTGAACTACTTTCTCCATAATATCGATAACATACAGCAAACTCAGCATTTGCAGACTCTGATAATACATCCCTCTCTAACTCCTTCTGTTCAGCCCCTTGCCCTGTATTCATCTCTCTTACGTGCAGGAGCCGCCTCAACCTACGCACTCACAGCTCCAGCATTCATTGATCGCAACCGCTTTCCATGCTCCAGGTATTTTAGAATTTTTGCAAAAGAATATCCATATAACCAAGGTTATTCACTTTGAAGTGAGTTAGGTGATGATGGGCCACGTATTTTTATTTACGTCTACAATAAATTGATAAAATAGAAGAGCAAGTAGCAATTAAAACACTCCACTTGGAATGCTTATTGAATTTTATGCATTTTAAGCGTTTTTCGATATTTTATTGCTCAAGACGCTTTACATACCACATTTTTTTTTGTTAATATTAGAATAAATAGTTTACAATGTAGCACTTACTTGTTTTAGTTCGTGATGCGCCTAAAGATGTATTCATAATAAAAGCTGATAAAAACAGATACAATGGCTAGAACTTATTTAATATGGTAAGTTGGAGGTTTTTCCTTGATGTGATTATAATCACACACTCACCATTGGAACACGTTAATATTCAGAACATACATTCTTGATCTAAATTTGTTTACAAACTCATTGTCTACACCAAGACATCACAACACTAAATTTCTTAATGAATTAGAAATCACTGATAAGAAAACAAGTCATAAAAAATTTAAGTCCTTATTAAAACAGAATCTACAACACAAATTCTTGTATCAGTGCCGTGGCTCAGAAGCCGAACTTACGACATGTCACGACCGAACCTCGGAACCATCCTGGAAACTTCTTTCTCTCCCTCTTGAGACTGTGAATATTTTTCTGTTTTACCATGAACTTGAAGCCTCATCACCTTATATCTTAATCTAATATACAGTATTTTATTAAAAGCAGACGAGCTTTGGCCTTTTTATTATTGTCCCGTGTGCGGTAATGTCGGTGATCTACCAGTCTGCACCTGTTGTACGCACAAGACCCAATACAGGGAAAGCGAAGCATGGGATGTGTGTACATAATTATGGGCAATCCAAGTCCACGTCCCTGGCGTGCCCGACTGCCTAAGTCTACGCATATGTTTGATTGATAGGAGGAATAAAGTAACATAGGCTACATAGAATTGTTTTAGATTTATTTTTTGATCCAGCTGTTTTTCGGTAAAACATCTGGAAATATCTGAATTAATCTAAAAAGTCTTGGAAAATGAGGTCACATTTTCGGTATTTCGGTAAATAAGGTCTCATTTCGGTATAAATACCGCGACACTGGCTACAGCGGCCAACACAGATAATGTCACAACTTCTTTAAATTTCAAGTTATTGCAATATTTTTTCAGATTTGGAGAAGATACCGGTTATATTACTATATGCAAGTGAAACTAGCGGTATTTTCGACTATAAGAAAGTTCCTCATTGTTGGTTTTATTGTTTTGTTTAAAGACAAAATCCCTCTGGGACACCCCACAAAAACGTTCAATTTTTGCCCAAAAGTACCAAACTATAATAATTCTGTATCTGTTTCAGTGGGATAGTGTCGCAGTCTGTGCAGCTGTCCCCCGAGCAACAGTTCGGCTCAATTCGGTCTCTCACCGTGGGAGGTGGGGGGAGGGAGGTCGCCAGCTTCCCATTGTCCAGGACGCCTACACCGCCACCTGGCGACAGGTATGTAAACCTCATTCTTTCATCTTATTTGAATGTGTACTAGGAAGTAAGATTCTAGTGTTAGTTAGTTCATGAACGAGGTGTAAAGTTTCTGGAAAGTCAATGGTGGACAAACGTTTTTATCCAGATTTGGAAAAGGAACACGGAAAAAGGATGGCGCATACGGCACATACATAGAATTTTGGAGATCGGCAGGGGTATTACGTAACTTGAAAGTGATATTATGTAGGTTTTATCTACAGTAACAAGCTGTCGTTCAGTTTACTGCTCACTTGGAGCAGGCGCGGATTGAACTATTTGCATACTACCAGCTGTCTAGTCAACCGGCAGACATTTTAGCGGTTTTTTGACATTATACAGGTTTTTTACGTAATACAGCTAAGTAATTTTTCTCCCGCGGGGCAAAATTACTATTTTCATCTCTGTTACAAGCAAATGCAAACGCTGAATTTGGAGACGATCTTTGAAAAATTGTAAATTAGGAGTCTACATGCCCGATTCTTCCAGAAAATGGGTCTTTGTCCAGATCACAGGTGAAAATTATTTCATAGGAAACTTCAAAATATTATGTTACTTTATAGGGCTAAATTTAGATTTTTGTCTCATCTCATTGATTAACGTCTTCTACTTGGAGGTAGCCAACCATACACCGGCACGGGTATTATGTGAAAAATAAAGCGTCACATAAAAACTATAAAATGTCATCTTACGGACTACTCGTAGGTAGTTTTTAGGGTGCAAACAGTCATTACACGTTTGTTCACTAGGATGGTTGTGAGCGTCCTTCTGTAGAGGAAGGACTCAACTACACGCATTGTTGGTTGCATATGTTTTGTGAAGCCGAGTAGTCTGCAGTTTTCATCTCTGAGAAAAAAGTTGGTTGAATAGCAAGATCGCATCTGGATGATCATGTGTAATGGTCTGCATGTGTATAAAATCGGTGATATTTGCTGAGTGAGAAAATCATTACTGAATATGCTGCCAATGAAGTATACCTATTATCTGTAACCGACGAGTTATTTTATATGTTACCCTTTCTGAAGACAATGTTCAAAGTTATAAATTACGAAAAACTTTGAGAAGAATGACGAGAAATCGTCACCGCGCCCGCCTTGTGTGTAATTACTGTTAGCATGTGTATGACTTGTAATTCGACAGTGTACCGTGAATATAATTATTTCTTATCTCTCTCATTTTTTAAATTCAGTAAATTTTCATATGTAATTTCCAGAGTAGATAAGAAAAAGTAGATGGGCAACTAATTTCCAGCTTTGCATCTCAAGTAAGAGTATTTGAGACAAGGATCCAACGGAATTATCACAAGCACATACAACTTGAACTTACAGCTTAGACCTCCAGTAATGCCATCTCCGAAGCAGATTTTAAATCACATCAGAGTCAAATATTGATAACTGAACCCTCATGACGTTTAGGCAAGACGTACAACTACAAAACGAGTTCACAACGTCTCCAGCAGCTAGAGCTAAGTTAACATCTTCTAGAAAAAACTACTTAATGTCACAAGAAACCAACACAATGTTAAAAAAATCGGGATAATCTCACCTTTCAAGATACGTAATACCTGTGCGGGTGTTTCAAACTGGACTCTCACCATTGGGATCTTGGAGTCAGTAAAAGATACGAGGTCGGTTGTAAGGAGGCAAAGTTGCGCTTTTAGGTAACTAAGAAAATGGTATTTAAACAGTTTCGTAATTCCGAATATTTCCGGAGATAAACGGAAGAAACAGAATTTTCTCAAAGTTCTTATTTTTTCCTGACTTCATTTGAGATGGGATTTCAAAATAAAAAGTGTATTAACACCGTCGCCCTTTCTCCTCTACAAGGTGACATTAGAATTTCATTATGACTTTTCGTCTCTCGTTTTCAATCATTCAGATGCCATATTGGATTATTGCATAGATGAATAGAGTTTTTAATTTTGATTAAAAAATGCATAATATAACATTGACACTGCAAAACATTGATAATTAAAAAAAAGCAGGTCTTAAGTATTAGACATTTGTTTCATATCATTAGCCAGTCATTCCTTCAGTTTTTATGAACTTATAATGTGATATTGTGCATATCAAGACATGGTATTATAGAACTTCAAACATCTATAAGAGTAATCTTTCTATAGTTGGTCTTAACTCATCCAATGAAGAAAACATTTTTTATATTGTTTAACGGTCGTATTGAAAACATTGAAAACGGTATTATTTTATGTCATTGACAGAAACGTTTTGGAATAAAAGCCTCGACCATACCTTCCTATACATACTTCATACCCTCATATCTAAACCGCCTAATATACGGCCGACGTGTCACGTAGAGCGCTTCTGTCGTGCTAAAATAACGCTTGTTATAGTGTATAAATGGGCACATTATGTGACTGTCGCTTTTCAAAAACGGAATCATTGGTCGGATAAATACGTGATAAACTGTCATTATCAAAGCCAGCCATGTCAATATTTGTATCTTTCGAAATAACTTAGGTTTGACATCAAAATTAAGAGTTCTCTTCAACTGTACAAAAATCTATAAGAAAAAATAAAGTCCAATAGTCATTGGACCCCATGGTGATCATTGGACTAGGGAATCTTATTCCTCTATTTAGGCCCGTATCGTCAGTCGTCCCTACAATTGTAGGGCGCGTTTATGGCCTCCTTGATTGTCATACTCCTTTCTCTCCTTCAAAAATTTCTAGATTACACTTGTCCCGTGTCAGCGTCAGCGCTCTCCTATTGTGAAGATATGTTTTTTTTTTAAATTGTAGGAAATTTCAGGGTGATAAAACATGATATATCTCAAAAGCAGGTACAATTTGATGCAAATAGATGTTTGTGAGATAACCTCAAAATAGACCTCTGACAGGGAGAAGTAGAAAACTATGACAATCAAGGAGGCCATAAAGGCGTCATACTCCTTTCTCTCCTTAAAAAATTTCTAGATTACACTTGTCCCGTGTCAGCGTCAGCGCACTCCTATTGTGAAGATATGTTTTCTTTTTAAATTGTAGGAAATTTCAGGCCGACAAAACATAATATAACTCAAAAGCAAGCACAATTTGATTCAAATAGATGCTTGTGACATAACCTCAAAGTAGAGTTCTGACACGGAGAAGTAGAAAACTATGACAATCAAGGAGGCCATAAAGGCGCCCTACAATAAATTGTAGGGACGACTGACGATACGGGCCTTAGTCTTGTAGACATGAGGGACTACTGTAAGATTGCAAAAAGTGAGTGAAAACTGAAACAAATAAATGATGATTCAACCGGGGCAACAAATATGTGAGTGGTGATTGAGATCAAGAGACGAAATGTCATATTGCAATTATTTTATCGTGTAGAAAAGAAAATGTAGAAATGTTAAATGAATTCAGAAACATATGGTACTTTGAAAAAAGTTAGTATTTGATTCTGCTAGTGTCTGATAGCTGGCGCTAGGATCCTCCAAAGCCCTTTTCCGGGTACCAGCATATGTTTGGATATTTTCAGGTAGAATGCGATGATCAAAGCTCTTGTTGAGATGACTGATCAAACTACACTACGGCTTTTTCAGACATTGAGTCGGAAAATATTGGTAAAAAAATCGTAAAGGGTGGTGCCACCGGATTTGAGGTCGAAAGTGGGGCAAACTAAATAAAAACATTTATCTTTATTCCAGAAGTCACAATCTAGTCCATATCCCGGATGAAGAAAGGCTGGTGAATTCCCACTTCGAAAAAATTCCCGTGCAAAGAGAAGGCCCAAGAAAATCAGTCTCGATAGTCCTGCCAACTGAAGAAAAAGGATGACCTGTAGTTGACCTCTAGACATGTGACCAATGTCCATCAAAATACCCCTTTTGTTATAGAAAAGTGTAAGCCATCCGGTTTCATGTATTTTGAGGTATATTTTCTTGCATGTAAAAGACATAATGTACCGTGAACGAACTGCTTTGTATGTCATACATTTGAATGTCTGTGGATCTTACCTCATGAAGGTTGCAGTGACATAAACATTGACGTAAGAGTTGTTCGAAGAACAATCTGGTGGTGGCATCTACAGAAAACGATGTCGTCAATAGCTTGGAAACCTATATAGAAATCGAATAAGCTTATGCATGTGAAAATCAAAAGTTTGCCAATTTTGGCCTAAAAAAGTTTTAACTTTAGATGGTAACATCAAAAATTATAATTTTTTACTGAGTCCTTGAACATTGAATATACTCATTTTTAGGGTTTTTCATACATTAAATTGACTTTAAGGAAAAGTTACCGGAGGCCTTCTTTGTTTAGATTAATCCAAAAAACCTACAAATTCAGCTTACCCATGCATTTATAAATTCGCCGGTCACAATCTGGCAACGACGCTCTAAGGTTATAGTCCAAGAGCCGACCGCAAGTTTTGTGTTACTTTGTATTCTGAGATGATATGATAAATACTAGTAAAATCTCACGTATTTTGATGTTAAAAAGCATACTTGCTAGGTTAACTGTTGATCTGAGCGATGTAATTAATCATTTTAAAAACTGAATATTTGCTGCAGCAGAATACATGACGTACTGCAATAAAATTTCATGGTATACTTTTTTCAACTTGATCTGCTTTCATAATTATGTTTGTTGAATGTCCCTTAACATGAAAAAAGAGAAGCCGCTCAGAAACCTGGTCAAAATTTGCTTAAACAATTTTGTTTAAATAAATTTCAAAAAAGTATTTTTTGGCCAGGAAAATATTATTCTGAACAAAAAAGCCCCAAGTAACTTCTCTCTAAAGTTGACCGTTTTCGAATTATAGGCGATAATGGCGCAAAAACACAAGAAATGCTTAAATGCTCAGTTAAAAATTATAATATTTATGGCTGTACAAGACCCCGAAGAGTATTTTAAGATCAGTTTGTTTTAAAGTGATTTTTAACCTTTTTTAGCGAACTTTTGATTTACGCAGACCCTATTAAGCAATTTTTAACTATTATCTTCGAACAAATATGTGCTTCATCAAGAAAAATGAATCAATGAAGCGGCATTTTCTTTCTTGAGCAAGTCGAACATTATAAAAAAAATGCATCCCGATGTTTAGTGTTCCTGGCTTGAGCGTTGAAATTGTCCTTACATTTTTCTATTCTTCTTGGTCTTTGCAATCAATATCGGTCATTATGTTGACCGTTTGATCTTTAAAAAATCGATCAAAAAAGGAGAATTATTAACAGAATCCGTTTGAAAATGTAGAAAGTTTGTAGCTTTGCCGGTTTTTGATCTGCGATATTTGAGACGGGATGCTCTGTGTTTGATTTTTTGCGATTTTAAAAATTTATTTAAAATTTCTCACGACCTTTTTGAATCTGTAATTGCTCAGTCATACAATTTTCCTTAAGTTTAACATGGACAAAACGTTGTGATCATATGAATGCTCAATAGGATTTATTTCTAAAACATAGTCAAAACGTTCTAATTTGCACAAAAATGTGAAACCGATTTTGTCCCCAAATCTTAGAAATGTGGAAAATGGCAACGTCGAACTGGCGATCTTTAATTCATTTTAGAGTTCAACGTTGCCATTTCGCGTATTTTAGCGTTTTTTGTAACACATAAGGGCTGATATTGATTGTTCATAGTGTAGCTACCCTATTTAAGCTCATGATGTTGTGTTTCTGTGATTTTAAACTTTTTTTACATACCTTAGGTAAGCATATCACCATGCATGGGCATTCGATATAAAAACTATTGAGTTAAGCGATTTTTTTCAACTTTGTGTGTTTCATTGTTTTAAATGGAATGTATGTTGTAAGTTCCGCGTAGATTCCAGTAAATAAGTTTAGCGGAAAACACACCTCTCTACTGTATTAATTTTAAAATGTACAGGTTGTGGCGAGGTTGCCAATAATGCTGAAAAATCAGACTATATCTCGCAAAATACGTAAATTTTTATCAAATTCTATACTGCCTGTCGGAACTGATTTTTTCTCAATTTGTCAGTGACACTTTCTGAGAGAATGTCTATAAAAACTACTTTTACTATGTAACAGTAGTAGCAGAACTAGTAGTAGTGGGGAGGCAAAGCCAGGCAAGTAGGCCAGCTTTGGCCCTTTTTGCCCCGAGTGTACCAACACTTCACACCACGTGTTATCTACTAATCTGTCGAATTGTACTGATTTTCTAGTAAAGCTCAGGATATCCGACCATTTCGCTGACTAAGCAACTTTATCAAACTCCATAGCCCCGAATATCTACGCCCTTAGACCACAATACCCGCGGTAATAGTCCAGAAAGTGGAACGCTGTTTTGTCCTCCTCCGAGCACATGGGGAAACTTGGATTTATCTTCACACTTTAAAGGGATAAGTGTGATAACCTCACCAAATTGTTGAGTGATTTTCTACCTCTGTCCAGCTGCCAGCGCGTCCGACATTTGCCTTGGCCCGCTACGAACCTCTTGGCCTCTAGCTCTCTCTCGCCATGCTTTTCTCAGGTCGCTATACACTTATTCAGTCAGGGCTTCTGCTTATACCCAGTCTAGGCTCGGGACCGATGCAGGTGCTTCACACCCCCAGCCTAGCCAGGCGGTCAGCTTTCTCGTTGCCCGGTATATACTTCGCTTTGTCCGGGTTTCGAAAGCAGGTTCACTTAAATCGTGCAGTAATTACATTCCTTAACTAAGGGTGACCTTGACCTCGGTGGCTTCCTTCAGAGCTGCTTGACTATCGGAGCATATGAATAGGCTCCGCTCGGTGCACTGCTCGAACTCTTCTGAGTATACCACCATTAAGGTTTGCCTCTACCTGGAAGATCGTTGTGTAGGTTCCAAGCACGAATAATTCCTGCACGCCTTTGCATTCGAAATATACTCCAGCCCCACTGGATGCTGATTCCTTGGTGAAGGATATGCCATAGCATCACACGACACACTGAGGCGGAAATGTTGTTTCTCCATTCACTTATTCTTCCTTCGAAGTGATGATGAGTGAGAATGCTAAGTCTGATCTTATGGTGTTTTGGCCCTTTCCACTTTTGCCGAAGATATGGAGATGTTACAACTTTGAAATTTATCGTTATGTAGGTGTGTGACTGATGGGAGGTAAAAAGTGGTCCATACTCGCGTAACAATGTAGTCTGAAAAATACTGTGAAGCGTATTGCGTAGATCTACCTTTATATATCGGAATAATTATTTATAAAATTATATTTTGCTTTTTTTATTAACTACAAATATTTTATTTATTCCCAACAGTTTTGAAGATATTATATTTTTCCATTTACCTTGTACTTTGCAGATTTCAAATGTAAAGAAACATTTTCTGTGTATCTTTGTTTTGCCACTGATTTTATTAACGTCGTGTGAAAAATGTTAGCGAACATTTATCACAAATCTTTGTACAAAAGTATACTCTAGGATTGAAATGATGTCTAGATAGATAGAAAATATTCCCACTTGACAGATTTAACAAAATCAAATAAAATTATAGATACACCATTCACATCAAATTTTACTTATGTCTTGTTAAATGTCATATGGAATAATAGTAATTTAAAATATAAATTAAAATCGTAGATGAAACTTTATTTTTATGTTCTTAATCTTTGAAATAAGCAACATATCATAAACAAACAGCAAATTTTGGAAGTTTTTTTTTATATTGTGGCGAAATGTTTCTTATTTTTGACGGATTTAGGTTGCTGATAGACTAGAGGTGGGCAGTTTGGTACAAGTGTGTCGATGCGATATGTCAGAAAAAGTATCGATTGAATCGACACAAGTTTCGATGCTGTCAAATGCCGAAAAAAATAAAATTCCTTATTTTATCTAGAAAATTTAATGAAAACTCATTTGAAGGATGCTGATGAAAGTAATGCTCGAGGAGCTAGATTAAAACTTCACTGATTTTTTCTTCAAATTCCTCACTACGCAGTACATCTAGTCATAAAACTAATAATGACAATGACAACTGTCCAATAAATCTCAATTGTCTTCCTTGACAGTTTGCTCCGTGTATCCGGAACTAGTCACAGATGACTAATCACCATAAATGTCAAATAACAATGCCCTCTTAGGCTTATCACAACGCTAGAATCTTGAGTCGCATAATCATATGTTTGATTAATTTAGATTTATTGTCATTAGGAGGATATTTTAAAGTACTTATATTTTTCACAGGTTAAATATTTTTATTTGATTGAATTATGAAATTCCACTTTGTTTGGCTTGGCGACAGCATAGTGGATTTCAGCATTATTTTAAATGAATTTTATAATTTGTTAGGGGAATGTTTAGTTTATTTGGCCACAAAAAACCAAAATAAGCACTGTACGCCAATTCTGTATTTTATGGTATAATTCGTTTCACCTGATACAAAAATCTGTATCGAAATACGCTGGTAACATGTATCGATATGCCCATCTCAATGAAACATGGAGTTTGAACCAATCGTTTATGAAAACATATAGTAATTTTTTATTGTAAACTATAGTTTTTATATGATACTGCGTAGATTGATTCTGTTACATCTGTTCAAGGAATATGTCTGTATTGTACTTACAGAGTTAAGATTTGCCTCGATTATCGTAAAATGTCAAAATTTCGATTTGCACCCTCAGTCCTGTGCCAAAATGGCTATAAACTCTAATTGGAAGACTAGTCCAGGGTCCCAAACTCCAGTGACAGTCCTAAAATACGCACTTCGTAATCGGCGATAGGAGCCTCCATGATAGGTGGAGCCAGACTGCATTGTTTCTTGACAAGTACACAGTTTAAAAAATAGTGTATCCCACTTTTAGGTGACGCTTAGTAGTGAATGAGACCCTGGACTACATAGAATGTAACAAACATTTGCTTTGTTTTTGTTCTGTGAATAAAGTAGATGCTTTTATGTTTCGATTTTCTGATGATGATATAAGACGTGATAATATATGTAGTAGATATGTATGTTGAGGCTGACTAGGTACATTAAGGTTGATATGATGTTAGTGTAAGCTGTTTTTACTCAAAACTGGATATGACGATGGCGTAAAATATGTAACGGCTCTATCACTTGCTCACCTAGTTATTGTAGTCATTACTTTTATCTCATTGTAATAAGAATAAAATACTTTTAGAATATATCATGTTTGTGCATTATTTATCACAGAAATTACTCAGAATTACCAATAAAGATATTAAACAAATGATATGTCTGCTTGGATTTATCCCCCTTTTCCTATCAGCGGTTGGAAAGACCGAACGATTCGATTTTTTAAATTGCCAAAGCATTCGACTGGAGACGAGAGTTGATCCACGCTTGATATTCTTCGAAGCATCTTCCAACACACAATCCTGGGGCATCAGGGCATTTGGTACTATGATACGAGGAATCTTTTCTGATTTTATTCTGCCAACACACTTTGCAACGCTTTCGCATAGTTCTACCATCTTTATTTCTAGTTTCAATTTTCTCCAGTAAATGCTGTGTAGTTTGCTTTGCAGGTTTAGGATTGGTATTTTGTGGTTGAGGAAGAATTTTTTCAAGAACAGCCATACGAAAATCATCATAAGATAGCCGCTTTTGAGAGTGCTTGTTATATAAAATATAAGAATTGAAAAGTAGTAACTGAAATATATGTATCCCCAGTTTTTTATACCAGCGCAACGTTTTCAGAACACAGGGGTAGTATGATATCATCTGATCCATGTGGTCTATGCCGCTCATGTATCTATTATTCTCCACTACAGGTAACGGCTTTTCCTTTGTCACATCTCTTCTGTTTTGCGCTTCAATTAGGTCGTTTTTGAATTCTGTAGATATATGCAACACGTCCCTTTTATCTCTCCACTCCCCAATCATAACGCCATCCTTATAAGCAGCCTTTGTTTCACCTTACTTAAGTTTTATTGTGGTTATGTTTTTTGGAGTGTCTTTCCTTCCGGCTCTCAGGGTCCCCGTACAGTAAGTGTTCACCTCAAGTAACTTTTTTGCTAAGCTATAACTATTGTAGAAGTTGTCCATGTACAGCATTTCTCATCAAATATAAGACAACCTTTGCTGTATGTCCAACTCCTCCATACGCATCTGTTTGTCCTGTGTATACCATTAAATTCATGATCAGACCATCGGATTCCGTAAGCATATATAGCTTTATGCCATATTAATGTCGCTTATTTTTCAAGTACTGTCTAAAGACAGACAGACCCCAGAGCAACATTGATTCATCTAAAGAGAAGTTTTTATTGTGATAATAAATCCTTGCCATTTTGTCTTGAAAGTAATTTAGCAGCGGCGAATTTTGTATAAACGATCTTCAGGCACATTTTCACCTACACCAGGATTTTCAGCAAAATGTAAACTTCACAAAATGAGAAAAAAACGATATCGGCTCATATATCTTGAAAAACATGTAATCCCAAACAGCCAGTGCCTTTTCCAATAACCTTTCAAGACATTGCATTTGATGGTTCCTGTATGAAACGTAAGTCCTATGAATTGCAATAACTCATCTTTGGTAACGTTTTTCCAACGAGATATTCGTGAATTGGTCAGAGCTCCTTCGCTGAGGAAAATAGTTTCCGCATATTTATTTGTTTCATCGACAATAAGTTCCAGTAAATCATCATCTAATAACAATCTAAAGTAATCATAAGGACTTGCGTTTAGATCAAAATCAATCAGTAAACCGGGTGTTTTTGTAAAATTAATGTCCTTCATTCCGGCACAAGTATCGCTCCAAACCTCATTCAAATCGTCAGTCGCAGTTGTTACATTAGAGTCATCAGGCGGAACAACAGTATCATCATTAGTAGGTATATCTAAAACAAAAATTATTAAATTATCTCACTGATACAAAAAATATGTTTAATATAAATCTTACCGTAATCATCCTCTGAAGATGAATCAAGGTCACTGGGGATGTACGAGCCTTCGATGTCGGAATCATCCAAGTCGAAATCCGAAGCTTCAAGAATACGTAAGAGTTCTTCATCTGTAAGGTTATTCTCATTGCTGACTTGAATTTTACGTCTTTTTGTACCTGAAGTACTTGCTTCACACAGCTTTGGGTCACTCATGAATCACTATGTATAATCAAATAACCGATGATCAAATTTTTAAACTACCCCAATTTAACGTAAACTGAACCTTTCTGTACGTGCTCCATTCGTAATAGTTTCCTCTCGACAAGTGCTGAAATACTACTGCCGGTTATGTTTAACAGTTTAACGGCGTAGCTGACTCACCGGTGCGTCATGCGCGTGGCTTGAATACGCAGGTCGACGCACCAGTGTGTCATGCGCACTCAACGTGTTAAAATGTACCACGTATGTTACATTTGGAGCACATATAATCTAGAGTCCGGTCCTGCAAAAACGCTTATTTTCTTTGGATGCGACTAGTTTGGCACTGGCGCATGCCTGGTTGTATAAGAACAATAAACTAAGTTAGAGGACAGCCTAAATTAGCAAGGAGCCATATATTTTACTCATGCAGGTAGTTGGACGAATAAGCAGCAAAGCAAAGGAATGCAAGCAGATGTGACGTTGGCGATTGTTTTTGGAATGCGCTCGTCTACACCTATATTTAGTTTCGTGTTGGACCGTGTCGGGTAAGTTCGATGCTAATGTTGAGCGACGAGTCACCTCTCATCGAATACAGACAAACGACTAAATACTAGAAGCGTAACATATCCTGTCCAGACCAAATCAAACCTCCCTTTGATGTACCGATCAAGGAGCGAAGGCAATCGAACTCCAATGCCGACCTTCGAAACCGTAGGCTTATGTTGGCTCGCGCCGTGCGCACCAATTCGAACACACCAAATCTTTGTCTTGGCTTGCGTTGGAATATCGGTCTGTACGCGGCTTAATACAATGTGTACGAAAGTTGAAGACACATTACAAAACGTTCCTTCTTTTACTTCAAAACCATCGTTCAGGTAATAGATGGAATATATTTTGAATTTTCAATAAGCAACCAAAGGTTACTGAACGATTTTGAAAATTCAATTGGAAGAAAAAACTTTATTAGTGCTGCATTTTATGTTAACAAGTCATACACTGTAGTGCCTTAGAAGTTGCATAGACGTTTATTGGTCGATATTGTGGCGCCCTCTGTTCAAGTTACTGTTAAGTAACATTTTGCGGTACAGTTTTCTTCGCTTGAAGAATTCTCAAAAGCGTATATCGTTGTCATTAATATAGTAGTGCCCTAGTGCCATCTATCAACGAATAATTGATTGAAAGTCAAAGGGAAGTATATTTTCTTGTTTCTCCTAGCAAAACCATTTGCAAATTACATCCCTCAAGTTAGCTTCAGATTAGATTCGAAGATCATAAAATTACAGTCGATCAGTTCAGTCGTGAGTGCAAATCTCCTACATACTAGGAAACTGGTATTTTCAGCCGCTGAGGGCTGTTTTATGTTACTTATTATCAAATAAGGCTTTCAAATAAAATATTAGACAGTATCCCGTAATTCGATATTACCAGTGGTGGAACGGGAAAACGAGAACAGGTCCTTGTGTGATCTTTTAATACGCAAAATACCTATCAAAAATGATTTCTTACATTAGGCCTAACTGTAGGTTGTACCTACATTATGATCGTTGCGATGACCAATCCCGCGAGAATTTGATATTCACCATGCAAAGTTCACGCAGCTCACTGCAGTGTGGAAGCGATTGCCGACTGTAACGTGCGACCACCGACGAAGCTTGTCCATCCCGGGGACCACGTCGCACGTATCGACACTTGACTGACAATATGAGTTTTAAGGATAAATGTACGAGTGAAGTATCCCTAATATGTACGTAGAATTACCCCTTTCAACCCCTAACTCCAATTTTAACTCCTACAAAAATTTTTTCGACAATGATCCGGATCGTCTGAAAACGAAGTTTTAGGGATTTTTATTGTTATGTATTCTTTTTTGCAGGTTAAGGATAATAATATAGCACTAAACATTCAATAATTGTTTTGTATTCATGCCTTTTAGAGCAAAATATGTCGAATTAATTTTTTTGGCTACAAAGCCTGTGCGGTCTTTCCAGCTCCAATGTTGTATTAGACCTAAAATTTCGCTTGGTACTCTTTCCAGTGACTTATTGTTTATTCTAACTATGATGTTGTTTTGTGGCCTTCGTTTGTGATACAAGATGTATTTGGTTTTATCTTTATCAACTAGTAACCTATTTAATACTACCCACTTTTGAAAACTTTGTATTACGATGTTAGCGTCACTTGCTACATCCTCTAGCGACTTAATAGGGAAACCTCCTATAAATATAGAATTTCTTCCTATAATTTTTGCTTTGTCGTCTATTTATGGATAATTCAAATGTTTGAGTTTTATGATCAAAGATGTTGTGCTCTTTGTTTTGTCATACACCTTCTTTAAAATTCGTGAGGACATAATCTAATACAGATTTAGCTCCTGTAAATTATCTAGTAGGTTCTTTTGGCAATATCCGGCCTAGATCAAAATTAAACAGTATATCAACTAAAAGTTGTCGTATGATATTATCAGAAGACCAGCCTATATTCAGATCACCAGAAATTAAAATATTCTTACATTTCTCTGCTACGGGATATGGATTGCATTTAAACATTTAAAGAAGAGCGATTATTTGGACTGGGTGATCGATAAAACAAAGCACTGCTAATATATTCGTGATCAAGATATCAACAGATTAAGAATAACACCGGAACATTCACATACTGACTCTAGTCAAACCTAACTCACAGATGTCATCGTAGTGTAATGGATATATCAGGCTGTTCCGTTTTTAGGACATTTCCAATTGTGGTATTTTATGAGATAGAGCCTGGATATTTTGACGTATTCCTTTAATTCTTATTATACCATGGTTTGTTGAATTTAGTCTGCATTTTTTATAAGGCATTAGGTGGGCATTTGTGAAGTTTCCATTTTCGATGAATCTCGTCGAGTCCGAACCAATAAAAAAGGATTGCGTTGCTCCTGTGATTTTCTTTTATAGGTGATTACAGACTGAGTATCATATTTTTCCTTGTACAGTGTGCAATTAAATCTCTTGTATTCTACACCTTTGTGCCAGAAATTTCGACCATAAAACTCTTGAAGTCAGCTGCCACCAAAAAACATTTAAGATCCGTGTTTGCAGCATTCAGGTCTCTAACAATAAATGGTTCGTCGTTATCACCAGTTTTTGATCTGAGGAATCATATCCGATTCTTTTGCGCTGTGATGAATTCTGTATAACTACATCTTTACTTTAGGCTTCTTTGCTGTGAATGTGCTCTGTGGCACTTCACCTTGGCCTATTCTTTTCCTGGCTACATGTGAGCCTGAGGTAGTAGTTGCATTTGATTGATGTAGGGCAACTGCAGGCTGCATGGGTATTTTTTAGGAGAATGTCGAATCAACGGCCTGCGTATTATCTGTGACGTGACATTATTTTAGTGGTCCTTTTATGCTAGTTGAGCTTGATTTATGTTTGGTAATTACTTCTGAATAGGTTTGTATTAGAGGACTGTCCTGTGTAGCATCCACACTATGATTTTTAGATTGATATTGTTGCTTTTTTAGTTTTCAATCAACGCAGATCTCAATTTCTTTCTTTATATGATTTTTTATTTCGATATCTAGATGAAGTGCATTCCATGCCAATTCTTGAGATTTGTTATTATTTTCCACTTGAGATGAGAGTACACGTTCTCGATGATTCTCAGTCTGTTTTAACTCATCTACGAGTAGTACGTACATAGTAATAGTTCCATGGCTTACTGTTCTTGGTTGGTTGTTAATACCCCTATTTTTACGTGTTTGAGCCGCTCGTTCTTGTATTAAGGCTTTTTTTATTTTTGCATCGATTCGTATATATCTTCATGATACTTTTTCTGGAGTTCAATAACTTTATTTTGTTTTTTCAGTAGCTCTTGATCTAGGGTTTAAACTTTGAGATCCCAGAATTGAAGTTGCTGTGAATATTGTGTTTCAGTTTCCATTGCATCACCTTTAAATGCTTTGGATTGCCTCCTTAGTTTATCAGTGAATGCATTTATTTTTATTTAACTCATCCCTTTAATATGTTTGTTATATCTAGTTCATGTATCTCTGACCATTCATTGCTACATATTATTTTGTGTTTATCATAGTCATGAACTCTTTGCGTTTTTGTGAAATACTTTAAAGCAAGTGATGCAAATAAGACATTTAAGTTCCTTATTCTTAGAGCACTTGAACGTCCCAACCGACATAGTTGTTATGATTAAATGTGTAAGTCCATAATTCACATTTGACACACCGTGCAACATCTATTTCTTATTAGAATTGTAACAAAAAACACAACAAACATTACAGGTTTTCTGTTGTTTATGTTTTGAACTTCTTCCGGAAAGAAACTCGCACAGGTAGATTATGATTGGCTCAGCTGGATACATTGAAGGTGTATAGTGTATGTAGGGTAAATTGTTTATAGCTAGAACTTTTAATCACTTTTCATTAGAGCACATGCTTATATGCGATTAGATACTAGACGTAATTATTATTGTGCACGTAAACACTTACAGTATATTCAGATAAGAGATAGACCGGACATAAACAAGACCACGTGATCATCGAACGCTGTAACATTCGGCAGGGACGTATTAAGAGTCACGCAGTACATATTTTAGATAGTAGATGCTGCTTTGCGTAACTTTGTAGTAAATTAGCACAATTCGATGTGTATACGATTGGTGATGGATATAGGATCATGTGGGGGTGGGGTAAGAAATATATAATGATGTAAATATACATAAGGGTTTCAAAATTTTCGCTTCGATTTCCAGCTTCGGATGCCGCCTGATGTTTGGTGAAATACAGTCGAATATAATCTCAAAATGGCGTTTAAATTAGCCTAAATTAAAAATAATCGTATATCTCTTAAAATTGCTTTTAGAATATTGATTAGTATATTTTTTGATTTCTAGGTAAATATGTAACCAAATTAAAACGTTCAAAACGTAAAAAAATGTGCATGGTTGAACATTGTCAGAAAGTAGATTCTTGAATAGGTTTTGCCAAAATGGGTTCAAAAATGTCAATAAATAATTAAAAAATACAGTAGCTTTATAATTACTTATAACTTACCGGATTTGATGAACGACATCTTTTATTGGAAAGATGAGCTTGATGAGCTTTCATCATCGCTACTGCCTGAAGCACCAACGTCAATAATGAATGGCTCGACTTGTTCCTCTAAAATATTGTCCAGTTCCCACATTCTTTTCAACTTTGTCTTTCACGTGCTTAATACAGTTTTCCCATTTTTGCGCTGTTATTAATTC